CACATAATATAGCAGACCTCTCCTCTTTTCTTCAGCAGTGTGTTTCAGTAGTCTTCCCTGTTCTGCTTCCCACTGTGTCTCCTTTCACCCCCACACTCCTGGCCTTCACCCCTGTTCTACACAAAATGAATTTTAAAAAAATCTGACCAACAATACAAATAATTATTGGTAGTCACCTCAGGTCATGCAGGGAGCATTACATAGGCTAGCAGAGTTAATGTAATTATTTATAAAAAACAAGGTGAGTCTTATTATCCATAGTTTATATATTCAGAAACTGAAGCTCAAGGAGATGAAATGAACTGTCCAGAGGCCACTTACCTAGCAAATGACAGGTTTGTTTTAATTCTGTCATCTGATTGGACAGAGAAGCAATGTACATGTCTGGCTGGTATGTACTGCTTGCTTTGGCCGGGATGTGAGCCCCACCGAAGGTGCAGGGGCCCTTGAGTGCAAAGGGAAAGAGGTTGCTGTTGAAGAGTTAAGCCATGAGGGGAAGGGTTCTGAACTAGGCAGGGCATTAATAGAGCCAAGCCTCAGAAACACTGATCTGCTATTGTTGTCTAGGATGAATAGGAATGTGGCTTGACCCAGGCCTGGAGACCCGTGGAGGTATATTCAGTTAGGCCTGAGTGAGCCTGGGTGTGGTATATTCAGTTAGGCCTGAGTGAGCCTAGGTGTTGGCTGCGGAGACAGAAAAATGTATTTTATCTGGTCTCTGGCCCCCTAGGAACTGCTGGGTGAAGTTTGAGTTCATCCTATGTGGTCCCTCCCTCTCAGTACAGGTTCCTCAAGAACTTGCTCCCAGTAAAAGCCTGGATGAAGAGTATAGGGGCAAAAATGGGTATGCCTAAGTGAGCAGTCTACAATGTTCCTCTCAAAAAAAGAAATCACCTCTTCCCCAACTGTTGTGGGGTCTGACATCTCACCAATCAGACTCCTTTCTTTCAATCATCTCTTATTAAAGAGTGAGTATTCAGGGACCAAAGGGAGAAGGGATACCACCATGTTTCCTCTGTCGAAGCATGTAATATAAATGCCTTGGGGGCAGCCCAGTGGGTGTCATGAAAAATGGGGCTCACAGGCCCTACCTAAAGGGAGAACAGCTTCTCAGCCCTGGGAGGAGCCCTCATTGCTGGATCTGGTACTCTGTTGGCAGAGCCCTCATAGGCAGATTTGGAAAGGATGCCTTCAGCAACCATTTTGCTGGTCACACTGGGGTCTCCACTTGCCACCTCTAGGTTAAATTTTAATACCATTCTGTCAAAATCTTTCTAAAGGTGGGAAGCAGAGTTGTAGTAAAATTACAGAGCAGGTTCATTTGGATTGCTGAGAGGGTAGATGGAGATGTTGGGTTTGAAGCAGGGAGCCTCTGTGCCATGTGCTGTGCACCCTGCTGCCGGGGCGTGGGAAGGGGGTGACCAGCCTGGTGCTGCTGTTTCCTGCAGCCTGGGTCTAGGGCTGAGCCTCCAGAGCTGGTCTTGGAGAGGAAGAAGGTGCAGGCAGAGCTTGTGTTTCTCTGGGCTCCAGTTGGCCCTGCCATTAACATTACAGTAATGCAGTTGTGTGGTGTGTGAAAAAGCATCCCTTGTTACACAGAATGATTTACAGGACACCAGACTCTGCATTTCAGAGGTCTCCAGTGTACCATAAAAAATATATTATAAAGGAATAATCTTTATCTGAACTAAAGCTGCAGTGAAGGAAACTCGTGTCCAGCTGAGAGCAGCAGTGAGCTTTTGTTCACTCAGGGAAAAGTCCGTGTTCTTCATCTTATTTGATTAACATCCTCCCTCCCCCTTTGGCAGTAGGTATCTAGTTAATATTTAGACATTATATACATTTCCTTTCAACTGCTGTTCCTGCTGTGTGATCAAACAAAATCGGAGATGCCAGCCACATCAGCCCAAGAGAAGCTATGGGTGACAGAGATCCTCCAGGACCAGCCCCAGAGGAGCAGGACCAGCTCCCGCCCTGGAAGCAGATTCCCTAGAGTATCTCGGTTGATGGTTCTGCCTGCTGCCCATCCAGCTTCCCCCTTCCCCTACCTCGTGAGCAAAAGGCAAGGGGAAGCAGAGTCTAGTTTTGAATCTTCCAAAGCCTTCTGATGTTTACCACTTCCCCCCAGGAGAGGGAGGTGAGGGGTGGAAATCTCTCTGCAAAGAAAATACACTTAAAAAAAATTCAATGAAGCAGTCACAGACACTCTGCACCCTGCTTGTCGCTGCTTATTCCGTGTTCAGAGTGATGATGGTGTGAGTCTATTTCAGCCCAGTCCTTTAGTGGTGAGCCCCCAAGGGGCGCAGAGGTATGTACTTGTGGCTAGCGGATGGAGACCAGGGGACAGCCTCATCTTTTGGAGCAGAAAGCACAGTCACCCCGCGGCGGGACAGAGGCTGGGGAGGGGAAACCTGGGGATTTGTGTCAGAGCTCCACCCATCACCGTACGGGTGGAGACTGGGAAGATGGAAGTTGGAAAGGGAAAGATGTTAAGGAGAAGAAATTACTCCTGGGCCAAAGGCTGGAGGCTAGCCCGGGTGAGAGAAGGACGGGGCGGGGCGGGGCGGGGGCGGGGCGGGCCGAGTTTGCTGGGAGTCCCAGGGGAAAAGGGGAAGCCAGAGCTGGTCGCCTTCCAGCGCCCTGCTGCTCGGTGCGCGGCACCCGGGCGGACTCAGGACGCTGGGTCCCTAAAAGTATTTGGAGAGGGATGGCGAACAGCGCAACCAGGCTCCCAGGGGAGGGGAAGCACGCGGGCTGGGCGGGGAACACCTTCAGAGACGGCGTGCTGAAAGGAAGAGGGGCACGGTCTCCGCTTTCCCGGGTGCCCCAGCCCCAGCGCACGCCTCCGCCCCCGCACCCCCCTCCGCAGGCGCGCGCGAGGCGCACTCCCCTTCCCTCGGCGGCGCGGGGCGCGCGCCCGGCCCCCTCCTCCTCCCCTCGGCGCCTCTCCTCTCTCCCCGCAGAAAGTTAGCAGCGGGGAAGGAACTCGGGGCTGCAACAGCGCGCGGCGGCGGCGGCAGAGGCTGAAGCAGGAGCCGCGGTGGAGCCGGGGAAGCGGGGGCGCTGCAGACGGAGCAGGTGCAGCCGGCGGGTCCACGCGCCCCCCTCGGTCCCTTTGCCAGAGGCTGAGGGGGGGCTGGTGGGGGGGCTACCCGGACTCCGCGGAAAGAGCGGGAGGGGGGCCATGCGGCCGGGCTCCCCCCCGGCGCAGCGGG